CGATCGTTCCCGTGGCACTCCTCGCAACACATTATCCTAGCTATTATCCGGAATCCCGCTAATGTACCTACCGAGATTAACGGATCATCACGCGAAAATCGTTCCGCTTCCGCGAAAAAGGGCGAGGAACTCGCACGTGTCGCGCTCGTGCGACCGTAGTCCCGGCATCGATCGGCGATTTCTGGGAGGTGACTTCATTCGGGGATTCCGTGGCGGTCACGCTTTCGTTTTCTTCGACCTATGTATATACCTGGCGGAGGGACAGAGCAAGAGAGAAAAGGATGAAGAATAGCTACCCCGTCAGGTACCACCACCCACCGCCATTATCGCTACATATATGTGAGAACTTCGACCTCCGTTAGGAGGACGCGCGTAAAGCCCAGATCGTCACGTTCTCGTACGATCGATTCCGTCCGCTATTTTTTATGATTAAATTTTCCGCTGACTTTCTCGTCGATTAAAAACCTGGACGCCACAGGTCTGTCGTGCAGGTATGAAAGTCCCCCGCGGGACTTTCCTTGGAGACTCTATACTGCAAATCCAAATGTGTAATTAATTTTCATGTGTGTGTTTGTGTGTGTGTGCGTGCATGTATGTGATTTAGTTTTATGTATAAAAATAACATTATGCTATAGCACTATACATTTAAATGTGTATAATAATAATATATGTATTATAATTTTTACACAGAAAATTAGATCACACATGTCATACGAGTACTCATATGAAGGCATCTATTAAGTTATGATACATTTGGATTTGCAGTGTAAACTCGAATATATAATTAGTGCCTTCATATACCTATGTGTGTATATTAATTTAGTTTTCTATGTAACGGTACATTATACTACACGTTTAAACGTAAATCCATTTTTATGTATACAGAGAGAGAGAGAGAGAGAGAGAGAGAGTAGTGTATTATTTTTACATAGAAAACTAAATTACACATATATGAAGACACTTATTGCACACGCGTGGATTTGCGGGTAAACTTGTTTTCGGCAGGCTGATTTCTGTGCAAAGCTGATTGTAAAAACAATTTCAGGCTTATTCATTTAATTTCTTGGTTGATCTAATGTAAGAACTGATATATCTTTACGCAAACTTAAGATTTTTTTTATTTTATTATTTATAATTTATGAGTTATATTTACGATTTTGCATCATAATAAAAGCATAAAAATGCACTCTTCTCGGTGAAGTCGTTAATAAATAGATTTTTTCGGGAACGAAAGTTCGCATTAATTCCTTTCGAGCAAAATCCTGTTCCGACTTACGTTTGCCACATCCCACGGAGAAATCGCTTCTAGGAAATTGCATCTGCAGATCTTGGATCTTTAGTCGAAACGTGGGAATCGAGATGTCGCGAGACAACAATCGTCTCTCATTATGATCCAAGTACTTGCATCAGTCTCTCATAACCGTTTATTGATGGAGTCCGCGGTCTGTATGGACATAAATAGAAAAACGGTTGTCGCAGAAGATAAGTAATAGAACTTGACGAAAGCCGAGGCTGCGACCTGCCGCTCGTTATCACCGGAAGAAAGGCTAAGTGGAACGTTAATGGGAAAATCGAAGGCGCGCGCGCGTGCGGGGTTACGCGATTGGAATAATCACGGGTCGGAGGTCAGCACGGATGTATAATTCCTATCCCGCACTTCCGTGGTCGCAAAGGAGGGTCGCTTTGCCAGTTTTTCCTGTTTTGATTTCCACTTTTGAAATCAGAGTTGCCACAAAACTGAAAATCAGGGAAAAGTCAGGGAATTTTGCCAAATTTTTTGGAAAATAAAAATTCTTGGCTTTAAAGAAGTTCAGTGTACGTCATACTTATATATGTACAGTTTTAGAACACTATCCACTTAATAAGTAAAAATGCATGCAATGTCAACATTAACAATAATTTACACTACTATACGTTAAATTGATCAATCAACAAAATATTTAACAGTTTTTAAATCAGGACGAAAATTAAAAAATTTCAAGATATTATTGTAAGTCGAGAAAAATCATGAAATTTTATTTGAAAACAGAAAGAAGTTATGGGAAATTTTAGAATGAGAAATTTGTGACAACTCTGAAAACCCTTCATCTTTGCTTCATGTCTTTTGATCACGCCTCCATAATTAGACTTCAAATGATGAACATATAATATATTTAACGGTTATACGACAAGAGAGGGGATTTAATCGCCTTATTACATTTTATCTCGCGTAATTGAAATTAAGACGCCGCTGCACTTAAGGCGTCGCAACGCGTCAGAAGGTACATTGCTTTTAATAGCTGCAGAAAAGCTGCAGCTTTGCATAACTGTTGTAAGATTTTTAACATGATTGGTTTTTGCCTTTAGAGTCTCGTTAAACCCAAATATATAAACCAATGGTATTAGAGAATCTGACGATAGTTGCAAAATTTTATTTCTTGCGCTGTTAGATATTAAAGCAATACGGGTAAAATTCAGTGAGTTAAATGTAACATCTTATTATTTTTAATTTCCATATATACCAAAATGTAAATCAATCTATTTTTGTGTTTGTTTCAAAGTAAACAATATTCATAATAACACTTAGTGAATAATAAATTAAATTTGAGTTAAATTTAATATATTTTTTTGAGTTAAATTGTTTAACTTCATTATTTCAGTTAAATAGATGACATATATTAAATACGAGCAATGCCAACCTATAGTAATGATTAAAAATAACTCAAATTGGGTATAATTTGACATTATGAATTTAACAGTGTACTAAAGAAGAGAATATCACAATGGTTGCAAAAAGCTTTTTTCTACTATAATTCTATAAATCCCGGCGATCCCAGAGGAATCAAAATTCGATCGATGGTCTAGATTTAGATCTTGGTGCAGAAGTCTTCGCGGAAGATAAATTTTTGCTGCTGGAGAACAGAAGCGAGGTAGCAAGCATCTCGACGGAGACGATGAGGGAATTCGAGCGGATGGTCTGACGATAGTCTGAAGTGCAGAAGAAGAACGGTACTCGCGCAAGAGGCCGGAAGGCGAGAAGTGATGACGGGAGGATGGAGATTCGAAAGGGAAGAAGAAAGGAAGAAATGGAGGAAAGAAGAAGATCACTCGCTCGGGAGAGTCGGGAGTCATTTTCTCGGATCTTGCTCGCCAACTCCACGTTCGAGCGGTTGCAGTCGGTGCACAAAATTCCGAGAAGCGACGGCCCTTTACCTGGCCCGCCGCGAGGAGACGAGTTCTGCGATCGCGAGGGAACGAAAAAACCGGAGGGACACTCGAGACACAGACGGAGACGGACTTACCACCGGATATCTCGGAATGGAATTCAATGACTGGAATCGAATCATCAAATGTTACGTATTCTTAATCTTAACAATCCTTCGCATTCGTTTTATATGAGGTATAACTAATTACAGTATCTCTCAGCTTATTAGAGTCGACTTGAGAAATATTTTTACCTTTGACAAATTCCAATTTTATGCGCTGCCTACAATTTTCATAGGAAAAAGATAATATTTTTTGCTTTTCTTTTAGAAAAAAAAACGTACATAGATTTATAAATTTTACAAAGAAATATCACATTTTTATGTAAAAATTCATATATAAATTAACTATAAAGTCACATATAATTAATAATTAATAATCGATGTATGTATAATCTTCACTGATTCTCATTTAAATAATAAAGACTTCTTTTTTATACTCACAATTGCTTATTTTTAACAATTAATACTTGACCTTTAGTACACGATTGGGTTATTCATGTCTTACGTATTTCTTTTTTTTTTAACACTATATGCATCAAGAAATTAATTATAACGTTTATATACAATATTTTTTTAATACACAACTTTACAAGTACTATCTAAAGATGCCAAAGTACAAAAATTACTTAATAATTCCTTTATATATATATGTGTGTACTGACAATAAAATTTAGTATCAATAATATACATAAAATTACATAAATCTATTCATGTATTCTGCTGTTGTTTTCTCTTGTCCTGCATACTATTTATAAATAGATGTCTTTTGACATTTTTGAAGCAAATCAGCAGAAAGTGAAACAACAATTTTAACGATAACGTAATCGTTATCTCTTGCCAAATAAGAATAATGTGAATTTATACGTATTAGAATTGAAATACGTACGGAGATTCATTTTGTCGAATGCATTTATCTCTTTACAGCCATCATAACGTGAAATCCGGACGTCCTTTAAATGTCTCCTAGGAATCGGAATTACGGATGATCGAAGATCAGAATGTCCTACGCGTGTTACTCTTACGTGGAAAATTCACCCCATTCGACGAGACACCTTCAACGCTCAGCTCGGTTCTGCTCACAATCAGTTGAACTCGCTCGCTCCTTGTCTCTCTCTCGCTCGCTCTCCTCGGACTCGTCGCGCGCGCATTGCGCGACGTGCCGCGGAGGGAGCGAACTCGTTGGATATATACATGCACACGCGATATCATAGCGGCGAGCAGTCGACACGCGGCACTCGTACGAAGCGGGTCTCCTCGTGCTCTCCTTCCCTCCTCCTGCGGCCGAAGGAGAGAAAGGAAGAAGAGAGACACAAGTATTTTAAGCTCATCTCCGCGAAATCTTCGACGGTAAAATTCGTCGAAAGGACCCGGCTCTACGATATCACACCACGGATTAATTACTCGTCGATCAATCGCGACATTTTACGCGATGACTCTATTTACCGGAACGGAAAGAGAAAACACGACGTGAAGTTTCTCCCCGTTGAACATCCGGCTTCGATCTTCGTCTCGGCGGGCGCACTCTTAGAATTAGTCGCGCGTGGATTCCTGAGAGATCGATTGGGGACGTCGCTCGATTGTACCAACGAAACACAAGATCCTCTCACTCTCGGACGTGTCGTGAAGACGACTCTCGCGGAGAGATCGCCGTGAACGCGGAAGTAACCGGAATCAGCCGGTACCAACCGGATCTAGGAGTATTATTTGTCTCGTCAAAAAATCCGTCCGCTCGTCAGCGGGCCGTATCAGCTCCAATTTAAATAATTAGGAGCTTCGGTTTAAGAAATTAGGAGCTCCAGCTTAAGGAGTTAGGAACTCCAGTTTGAGACTTAGTTTGCTTCATCTTCAGGAATCTCCTGAATCGGAGAGAACCAGCAAAACCTTTAAAAAGCAGTACTCCACACTCCGATACTCGAGTAGCCGGCGTGAGACCGGCCACGAGATTGTGTCCCTGGCTATGGACAAACTCCCAATAATCCCTCGAAGTGGTATTATTCACAACAACGCGGACCACCAGAAGGAGCGTCAAGAGAGAGCAACGACGACGACGACGACGACGACGACGACGGGGGTGGCGGTGGCGGCGGCGGTGGTAGTCGGTGGTGCGGAGGCACGATGCAGCACAAGAAGCGGCGCGATCCCCGATAACGCTGCCGCCGATCGTCGATTCCCTATCGCATCGGCGAGAGGAGAAGAATACACTCAAAGAAGACGCTCGGGAATTGCTGATACGTCGCAGCCGATCAGCTGCGCACGTCGGAGACGTCGGGACGCTTTGGTCGCGATCGCGCGACCACGTAGAAATACATGGCACGCGGAAAATAAAGGCGGATCGTCAAGGATCGACGTTATCGGTGATCATGCAGAGCGGGACTGTGCTCTCGATGCGACGGACTCGGCAGGATTTTGGAACGTCAGGACTCCCGACGACGACCGCCACACTTGTTGCGTCTCGATCGACGCGGCCACGTTTCTCGCGCGGCGTGGACCAGCCTCACCAGCCCGCGACCTTATCGTCGAACGGCGGCATCGACGAGCTGGTAGTGCCCTGCTGACTCGCAGCAGGTCCATCGGGGGAGGTGAGGAGATATTTCGCAGCACGGTGAATGATATTACGATAGGAAGGGAAGATCGGTTTTTCGAGACTCCGCTCGTCGGTACCACGGATTTTCCCGAGTGCAACGGACGTACCTTATCCAGCAACGCTTCAAGTATCGTGCTCCATGGAGTGAACGGAGGATCATCGACAACTGTCCGCGACGTCCGCGGAAGACCGATCGATAGCGACGTCAACACGGAGAACCCTCGGACCAGTGGTCCCGCCAGGCTGATCGAAATCGGTATCGTCGAATCCTCGTGCGAGGAGCAACCGTGCGTTCTCGCTGAGGAGATTGTACGCCGAAGAGACACCTCGTCTACGGTGCGATTTCCCGCGAAACTCGATCCCGGTGGACGTGCGTGGCGGACCAAGGCGGACACGCGCTGGAGATTGCCGAGGATCGGCCTCGTCCAGCGAACTCTTCTGCTGGGACTACTCGCGACGAGTCTGCTCTGCGACATGGTGCTGTCCGCGCCATCGTCATCGTCAGTTCTCGAGGACGATGTCGAAGAGGAAGAGCTAGGAATGCCGAGGAACAGCCTTGGCGACGACGAGCTGGAGGTTATCAGGAGGAGCATCGTGCAAGGCCTCGGGCTCCAGAGGATACCTGATCCTTCGAAGGTAGGTCTGGTCGAACACGGCATTAGCGAGAATACAAAGTATCGTATACTGTTAAATATTAGAAAAAAGCAAATTTAAATCAATTTCTTGAATTAAATAACATTTTGTTATTTTTAATTTCCAAGTGGGTCGAAATATATTATATAATACAAAAACGTTTGGTTAAAAAAACAATCACATCTAATTAATTCATATCTGTGATCAATTAGTTTGAAAGTGAACAAAGTGATAAATTAAATTTGAGTAAAATTTAATACATTTCTTGAGTTAAATTGTTTAACTTTATTGTTTTAGTTAAATTAATGTCAAGAGAGAGAGAATACCTGTACACACTGAAAGAAAAGATTGGCTGAATATGGCATAGCATTTTTATTAATTGGTTGCAGCAGTCAATTTTTCGTTGCGTTAGCCTATCGAAATCCTATATGACATTGCGGATAGACTTGTTCCTCACACGGAAAAAAAATTTTACTTGTTTCAAGGAAAAATTATTTGATTCAAGAAAATAATTTTCTCAAATAGTCCCTAGCAGGCATTTAAAATTAATTTATGAAACAATTTTCTCGTTACTAGTAAATATTTTTGGTAACCAAGAAATTGATTTTTGAAATAAAAATTATATTTTATAAAAAGTAACCAATGTACGATTTCTAATAATCATGTCATAAATTTAAGAAAAATATTCTCTTATTAACAACAATCAGATTCAAATAATGACATTTATTAGATTTAATAAAACAATTTTCTACTGACAGGTAATTGTGTTTTTATTAGAATAAAATATTTTCTTCATTGATAAATTATTTGTGCGCGCGCTTCAGGATAATATTTTATTGGAACAAAAAACAAATTTATTATGGCAAATAATTAATTCTTTCAATCAATAAATTACAGTTCAAAAAAATGTGTTTACTTGAAACAAGTAAATTTTTTTTTCCGTGCACGCAAACAAAAAGTGTAGCTGCTGCGACCAATTAAAAATGCTATGTCAATATTTTATCATCTAATTTGCTGCAACAGCCAATCTTTTTTTTTCAGTCTAGGAGCGATCTACAAGAATAATTAAAAATAACTCAAATTAGATATAATTTGATATTATAAATCTAACAGTATATATAACTGCAGTCTTCGACATTTTCTTTCGTATTAAAATGCTATTTTTTATTAACGATATAATAATTAAAGTATTTTTTTTATATATTAATGTATCATAATACCAGTCCTAAATTTTGTATTTACCTTGCTACTTAGAAACACTTAATTTCTATTGTAACTCGAGAGAAGAACGTATAAAGATTATTATCGAAATGTCTTTTCTGAAAATTACAATACGATACTTTGTATTGGCTCCGCCAGTATGGGTGATACATGAAGACAGAACGAATGAGAATATATAGTGTATTGCGAAAGCACGGTGCTGCATTTAGGTATCATAAATTAATGCAAAAATATTAACGATATATAAGGCGTTCCAAATTCCTCACGCTTTTATGAGCCGCGGATTATTTCAATAACTCGAATTTTTTTATGAATAAAGATAGTCGGGCAATAAATCTTTTTTGAATTACTATTACAAGCCTGACGAGAAGCGGGTGACGCCTTTGCGAAATAGTCATTTTATGCTGCGCGTAAATAACGAAATCGCATTTTATACCACAAACGTAATTTTTAATCCAAAGGAATTTTAATTATTTTTACGACGCGCAGTTTTTATTTTGACGACCCTAGAACTCCACACAAATCATATGGAAAAAGTAGCTTCGATCAAATTTACTGAAACTGTAACGTTTTTTTAGATTATGAAATATATGTGTGCTGATCACAAGTCTCCAGGCACAATCATAAAAAATGGACAAATTTTACTGTAGCCATTTAAAACTTACTATTTTGGATCTAATCGGACTGAAACGTAACTTTATTTACTCAACTATTTATTCTTTGGTAACTGTACTTTTAATACTTTTGTACACAGTCAATATAATTCATCAATATAAAAGAGTCAATAGATAAAATTCAATAATGACTCAATTGATGTAAAGAAAACACAATAGTCGCTTTTCAAAAAATTATGCAATTTGCAATATGCAACTATTCTTTGAAAAAGAACTGTATGCTTTTTATTTATACCAATTGATTCATTTAATTATTCTGTGCATAAAAGTATTAAGGTATTCTCTAAATTTTTTGGAGTGAATCTCACTCCAATGAATTTAAAAGTACATTTATCAAAAATGAATAGCTTAGTAGATAAAGTACTTTTCGTCCGATTAAAAAAATAGCAACTTTCATAGTACAGCAAAATCTGTTCATTTTTTGTGGTTGTATTTTTTGAACATCTCATAATCTACAAAATATCACAGTTTTACCCAATTTGACTGAAGCCATTTTTTTAGGCATATGATTTGTGTGAGACCCTTTGAAGATTGCTGAAAAGGAGATCCACGCATCCGATAGGATTATTTTCGGACGAAGAAGAATCTACGAATTCATTTAAAGAAAATGATCTAGAAACAGCATCTGGTTTTAAAAGCGAATGGTCGAACGTCTCAATGCCAGACTATTTAAAATCGATCTCGTAAAAAAAAAAAAGATAGAAGAGTCTCGCCTTATGCGTATCGACGATTCGTGCCTCGATGGTGAAAAAAAAGCCGATAAATCCTAAATTATTACAGAGGCGATAAGAGACGAACGCGGTGACGACGACGACGTCGCGCTCATTTGCGCCTTCGAGTTCGTTGATCGAGGACGATGCGTTGCGTTGTCGAAATTACTTGAATAAACGTCAGCTCTGCAGCCCTCTCCACGCCAGAGAACGATTGAATTTTACCGGCGACCGTATCTCGAGTTTCGCGTTTTTACGCCGGTTTCATAACGGCAAAAATAGGGAGTTTTTGTTATAACTAAAATCATGTTATCTCTTTCTTAATTAGTTGTTAAGAAGAAGATAACCTGACTTTAGTGTTCACCGTATCTGGATAAACGTATTACGAAAACTCTCTATTCTTATGAAAATTATCCAAATCTACGGGGGAATTTTTTGCCATGAGATCTGAAAGATGGAGAGCTCGCCTCTATATCTCTCATTTATGAACATTCTTTCATACCTATCTAAAGTACAGTCACGAAACTATTTATCCGAATAATGCGTCGTTATATTAATGATTCGTTTAAACTATGTACTATCCAATTGTTAATTTTTAAAGGGCGCTCGAAAAGAACGACTTTATTGAAAGATCTGGAATATTACTGGATGTAGATCTGAAAATAATTTTGTTAGACCATCGAAATAATTTTATCGGAAACTCAAACTGGTTGTTATATAAAATATCAAAATTTTTTACAGCATTACTCGTCATTTTTAGTCTCTGACATAATTATTTTGATGGTCTAACAAAATTATTTTCAGATCTGTATCCAGCAAAATTTTAGCAAAATCGTATTTTCTGGCGAGATCTATTTCTAAAATTTTACAAATTAATTCATTAATTTAATTGTACTTCTTGCTCCAAAATATGATTATTTCAGCGCCACTACAGTGATTTTCCCGTTCTGTAAAAGTTAAAGATGGTAGCTCCACTTACGCATTAGTTTACATTTATATTTGGACAACTTAAGTAATTGTAAAACTATGTATACAGTGCCGCAATGCGGTATGTAAAATGACAATTTTTAACATACGGATAACAGTTTGAAGAAATTATTGATATAGCTAATGACACATTATTCAGCAATTAGTTTCGTGTCTCTAGATATTACAACATATCTACTTGTCGTGCGAGTGTGCGAGCTATATATTTAAATAATCTAGATCGAATGGGCCAGACTTATTGCGATTTACCCGCGCTATTACCTTCTATAGATAAAATTACATTCGCAAGGGGAAAAAAAGCATGGATAAAGATTTTCTCGGCTGGAGTTAACCCCAGGCGAGCGTTATAATCGTACGAAAATAGATTTTGCGAATTATTAAAGCGGCGTATTCCCGCTACTCTCTCCGAAACTCTTCAAGGGTAGGCAGGTGGTGTAAATCCCGGCGTCCTCGCAGCCACGGAGGCATCAAAGTGTATACACGCGTGTGTACCCCATTGATTCGCGCACGCCGATGTACGCCTGTATTTATAGATCGCCCGTAAATCAGACGGGAAACGTACCTTAACGTTCCGTACGTGAAAGTACAAACGAGAGCGCGCGGACCTTTGCGGGAAGGAGAAAGGGCGAGAGCCCCAGGTTCGTTGACCATCCGGCCGGGCTGAAAAAGGTATTAGCCTTTGCACGTCTCGCGTCGCGCGCGCGGGCTGAAAGCTGAAACGCGAGCTGCGCGCACTGTGCACTGTGCGATGAAAAAGCACGACAATGCCGTTCCAGGGGGAGACGCGTGACACGTCGCGTGGTCGTCCAGATCATTAGTCTCGTAAAACGCTCCGCACGAAACACGCGGGTTGGAAAAAGCCTGGGGAGGGTCCTTAATCCCTCGATCTCACTGTGTGCCTCCCATTCCTTTCTTTTTTCTCCTCTCGTATCGCGTCGCACGCATCTCTCATGCCGACATTTTTATTTATTTTAGCCTATTCCACCTTACATTATTCGTGCGCTTCGTTAATATTGTGCCATGCATATATGTATATCTCTCGTGCGCTGACAATAAGAAAAAAAAACTGTTCATTTGAATAAATTAATTTTCAATCTCATTTTAACTTACTGTTTATGAGAATTTATAATTCTCGGAATTAAAAAGAAATAAAAGAATAAATTGAATCGAGATTGAAATTAATCTTAATTGATGAAATCGGGCCTGAGTCAAATATAATATATTTGACTGAAATAATTACGTAGAAATCTCATCTATAAAAAGTTTTAACATTCTAGCGGCCTCAGTTTGAGTTTTCAATAAAATTATTTGCAAATCTGTATCTTAGCTAAATTTTTAGATACTTGAAAGCAAAATCATTCGTCAAAGCGTAAAATTCTAGATGAGAGGGTTAATAAAAAAAATGCAAATT